TATTTTTCTCTCTGTATTTAATGTACAAGACGAGCATTTTGCGCACCGTTATGTCTGTGCTCTCATCTACTATAAGCGTGTGCCAAGGTGCATCTTTAACACTGCACATCGTCTCATCCTGTACTATTGCATTGATTGAATCCACAAATTCAAAAGCATAGTTTTTACTTAGCCAACTGTCTGGTATACTCACATACTTTGTGGTCGTGAATTTGTTGTACCGACAGCATTGATGCATTCATTTTGATGGCTCGTACAACATTGTCGATGAGGATTTTGACTTGCTCCGGGTTGGATTTATTTACTTTGGACAGCTCGTTCCTCTTCTCTCGGTCTTTGGCGCTCTCTGCCAATAACGTACCGATCCCCATTCCCATCTTGCATCTTTGTACAATTTTGACTGCATTCAAATGACTTTTGTGCTCAATGTGACGCTTGAGGTTGTGACGCTCCACACTTTTCCCTCCGAAAACTCGCTTGCTACTTTAGCTTCGCAACACGTTTTACAGAGTAGACCTTTCCGCAGTGAACAACGTCATGACGTAAATGCGTGAGCGAACGCGTCAAATAACAACCTGGAACAGCCAATTACATGTTGCATAATAGAGAATAAATTATGCATTTATTTTATTTTCAATACTGGTTGGATTTTTACTTTGTGCGCAGCTCAGATATTTTGTGCGCAGACACGCAGGGGGCAGTGCGCATTGGCTCACAAACCATGCTTAGAGGGAACAGTGGTTGTAATAACCAAAGAAACATTTATGAAGAGAATAAAGTCATTGCCAGAAAAAAAGGGTTTTCATTATATAGTATGAACGTGTCTCATATGAGAAAATTTTTTTAACATGAAAATGTCATATTTTATGAGATATTATGAGTAAAAAATTCTAATAGTGAAGAAAAAAATTATATTGCGAGAATAAACCCGTGACTGAAAGTTAGAAAAAACAAAACAAAACAAAAACAAACAAACGGAGACTGTGTTTGGAATTCCACATGAATTTTGTAATTAGCAAATTTCCAAATTTATTTTTCTAATTTGCCATCCTTGCCCCTCTTCATCTTCAAATGGAAATGCAAAAACTCCAAAAAAGTAGATTTTTAAACATGGGTGAGGAAACATGTCAAACGAATTCAGAAAAGCATTGTTAGTTCACACAAACCAAAGCTATGTACTTTTTCTTTTAATTTTGCTCCATTTTTGTACAAAATTCGACTCAACTCTCAAGAGAACAAAACAGGTTCACCTTTGTCAAAAAGCCTTTTGCGCTGCCATGGGTGACATTTATTTTTGCCAAATACAAACAAAAAAACAAACAAAAAAACAGACTCACTTCCAGGATATTTATTACTTCATGGGGGTTAATGTTGGAGGTATTCTCTGAACATTCAACCTTGTATCTATTTACACTTAACACAAAAGTGTGTGTGTGTGTGTGTGTGTGTGTGTGTGTGTGTGTGTGTGTGTGTGTGTGTTTTGTGTAGGAATACGGGAATAAACTCAATCATGAAAATAATACTTGAAAGCAATTACAGCTAGAACTGACAGGGGGAGTGGAAGCGTCGTGATATGACAAGGCTGGCTAAGTGACCTCTTAAAAAAGAAAGCTTCCAGCTGATCTGGTTGAAGCACATTCACCCCCCTCCCCCGACACCCCCCCCCCTTTGTGTTCCTGCTAGCATGTGATTTAAAAAAAAGGCAGTTGTCTTACATTGGGATGTACTTATGAACACTATTATGTTGTACATTGCCAGGGTCTGAGGTATCAACTGTGCATTGAGTTATACATGCAAACACAAGAACGGTGACCAGTTATGGAAAATAAAAACAAAAACATGACAAATGAGCAATCAAAATGTTCATGACAAATCTGGAAAAGTGTGACGCCATGCTGCAGGCTGGATTCCTGTTTAATTTCAGGCCTGGCACCATGAGACTTTTTCATACGTCTTATCATGATACAGTATACACATCAACATCTTGTCAGCGGGTGAGTGACAGTAGTGTCAAGCCCCCCCCCCCCGCCCCCACCCAAACTTTAAATGGGTTACGATTGAGTGAGTTTTAGAGCGGAGGTTATGTTTAGGACCCCCAATATATATCACCAGGATACAAGCGTTGCCAGTACATGTAATTGTCAATTGGCGTTTATGTTGAGGCCCTGTCAAGGGAATTTAGAACCAGAACGAACACGGCAAACGAAAGTGGATGCAAAAACATTTACGGCCTGCAAGGGGGTGCCAAACTGCATTCAAACATAGATTGCTTTCCAGACAGAAATTATTTCCCACTTCAGAATTTCCAATGTCCGACCTCTAAGCGTTAAAACCAATAATCGGCAAGCATGATGCATCCATGAGCTGATTTTTTTTCCGCAAGCACTAAAAGTTAAGGGCCTAATTATTTATCATATTATGTTTTATTTTATGTACCCCAAAATGTAGTCATTCTCGACAAGTACTACTCACATAAAGCTTTCTAAAAGTGAATTGGACTAAGAATTTTTGGACTAACCGCTTCAATATTCTCATGAGAATTTTATGTTTTTTTTTAATGTGGTCACATATGTACTAATCAGCCCAAAGCGCTGTTTTTCCACGAATGATGCCGTTTTTGTTCAAGAATGATGCAAAACACCGTTTTTTTATGCAGGTTTGGGTGAGGTAAATTATTAGCTTTCCAAGGGCTTGTCTTGTTGAAAGTAAAAAATTATGAAAATATTTTTAAAATAGCATGTTGTTTAGCAATAGAGGTATAGTCAAAAGTACAGTCCACTAAAACACAGTTTTCCACAGTGTTTCTGTGTTAAATCTGAATCAAAATTCCCACGAGAACTAGTCGAATGAAATCAAACAGCAGACGAGCATTTTATTTAGATTTGAAGATACAGTACGTGATAGCCAATTATATTGAAAGCGAGGAGAGATGCTGATGATAAAACTCGGCAGCGGGTTTACCTTTTAGCCGGACATAGCCACATATTGTCATGCCAATCCCCCCTCCCCCCCCCCCCAAAAAAAAAAAACAAAAACAAAAAATAGGACCAATGTGCTTTTTCCAATTGGAGGTAAAAAAAAAAATACATTTCTTTTTTTTTTTTTAAATGCAGCATACGAAGCAGCACCATGCAGTAACATCATGCTACAGGGAACAATTTAAATGACAGACAATTTGAATAATTTAACAATATACAAGTGAGTTCGGAATAGGGATGCTTCACTTGACTCCATTTTGATGATTTTGGACATTTTTTATGGATGGAAGAATCTCTAGGAGGGTTCTAAACTCTGGCTTCAACATTAGCGTCATAGTCTGAAAACTGGTGTGTTGAATTCACTCCATTTGTTTGTGTCAAGTGGTTGCAGAACATAAAATCATCTGGATCGAAATATTTTTTGAAAGATGTGTCGTCGACTTATTTTTTTTTTATCAGTATCCAGATGATTTAATTTCATACAACAGCTTGATAAAATAAAATTGACTAAATTCAACAAGGAAAAATAAAATCTGTGTTCCGAGTCAGTAATTCCGAGCTGAGGCACCAAAAAGCACTTGAATGGTAACATAGTCCATGCTATGAATTGCTGTTTGAAGTTGGGATGTTTCGTCCTGTTTGTTTTGTAAAACAAAGTCTTTTCTCGAGAGTTAATTTTGTTGAAATAAGAATAACATTCAAAAAGGTGCTAGCTACACTTGATGCCACACAAGCACAATGAAAACCTGAAAAAGAAATGAGGTAGTGTGGTTGATAAGGAGTTGGAATGCACCGGTCTTTTTGTTTATTTGTTTGTTTGATTTTTTTTTTTAACAGTTTAGAACTTCATTACTTTTTCAATTCAAATACTTGTTTGGCCATCGAAAACTAGTGTAGTGAATTTCTTTTTGTACCACTAAAAAATAAAAACAAAAATCCCTGGGATCATCTAGAGGAAGATGGACATACACACAACATCAAATTATGACCCGTCTACACATTGGTGGCCGTAACATGTCATGATAAATTCCAGAACATTTACATTCTTTTAAAATTCAGACATTCATAAATGCTAAAAAAAAAAAAAAAAAAAACTACAAGTATTCGAGCCAAATGAAAAGAACCAAAACTGCCAGATTTAGTTGTAATGCAAACACAAAACGTTGAATTCATGTGAGGGGGAGAAAAAAAAAGGTCAAAATACAAGATTTTTTGAAAAATATGCAATTCCGTTGAAAGATTACCAGATCCCACGATTAGGTTTGTGTGAAGTTAAAATGATGATTATTCTTGTAGGCTATCATTTCGTCTTGTTGAAATTGCAATTATTTTTCCCAAGAGGGTAACTTAAATGCAAATATCTTTTGTATTACGAAAAAGATTTTGTCATTTCAGTACCACTTTGTTTTGATAATTGTTTGTTGTGTGTGTGTGTGTGTGTGTGTGTGTGTGTGTGTGTGTGTGTGTGTGTGTGTGTGTTTGCAAAAGCTCTCATCACTCAAGAATAAAAGTGTTGCATGTCGGTCCATTTTTAATTTTTGCAACATGGGATTGTTTCTGTTGCAATATTACACATTTATAGTTGATGACTAATCCTTTTAGCTGCGTTGTGTGGCAGTAACACTTGTTTGGAAAAAAACAAAAAACAAAGAACAAACCTGTGATAAAGTCTGGATGGGTGTTGGGATCAGATGACACGTACATCCAATGACACGTGATTAATGGTTCGCATTTGAGCCACTAAGAAGTAGAGTGGGCTAACGCCATGCATTTTCTAATCCGCTTATCCTCACGAGAGTGGCAGGCGTGCTGGAGCCGATCCCAGCTGTCTTCGGGCCGTAGGCGGCGGACACCCTGAACTGGTTGCCAGCCCATCGGAGGGCTTACATAGACAAAAAAAACCCAAAAAAAACACATTCACACTCACAATCACACCTCGGGACAATTTAGTGTTCCATCAACCTGCCATGCATGTTATTGGAATGCGGGAGGAAACCGGAATACTCAGAGAAAACCCACACAGGCATGGGGAGAACATGCAACTCCACACAGGAAGGCCGGAGCCGGAATCGAACCCTCCACCTCTGCACTGTGAGTGAGATGTGCTAGCCAGTCGACCAGCACGAAGTAACCATTGCCATAAAAATATCCAAGGTTTTACTGCAGCCGTAAAAGTTTTAAATCACTGTCCTGCAAAATGACAGAAACAGAATTAGCCCATTCTAGCTCTCAATGGCTCATTTGAATTCAAAGTGTTATGCAGTCATAGTACGGCAACGTCACATTCCAAAATGTGTCTGGTTTTCGTGTGTGAACAGCTGAGATAGAATGGCACGCATTGCAGTGATGTGTCGGTGACCCTGAGACAGCGTGAGGCTAGAGAGAGAGAGAGACACGGGTGCTAAACATTCTTAAAATTGGGTTTGGATCCTCACCTTGATCCACTGGACTGGTGCCTACCATTTTGGTTGCCGTCTTAGGTCTGGCATCGAGAGGTCTGCACTGAATCTTTTTGCTTTCGCAGCCCAGAGGAATGTATGGTTGCAATGCATACCCCAAAAACAGGCACTCGGCCTCTAAAAATAGACAGTCATGTATTTACATATGTATGAAAGCATGGATTCAAAGTACAAAAGAAATCCGACAATGAGGCGCATTTACACAATCATCCCTGGTAAGAATGTCTCAGTTTGCTCGAGCCTGACAAGCAGAGACTACGGGCACAAGTAACTGTGTGCTACTGAGGTAGGGCGGACCAGGCCTGAAGTGACAAAAGGAACGGGGGTAAGACCGGCAGACTTGGTCTTGGATTGTGCTGAAGGGCAGCGTCCAACGTCCCCGTTTTCCCCAGATTTGGGCGCAGGTCGTGGCGTCTTAGGGGAGTGGAAGCCGTTGGTCAGCCCCGAGTCCTGCCTTGGGTCGGCGCAAACCGCCTCAGCCGCGCCATCCTCTGGTTTCCCGTTGTGGTTGGCCACCGGACCTGTCGAGGGAATATTCTGCTGGATCAAGTCTAGCGATTGTTCAGTGGGAGGGTTCTCCTCGGTCGGTCCTAACGAGAGGCCGCGAGTAGCTTTGGAGTCCTTGGCCCGCCCGCAGTCAAACTTGGCCTTCCCGGTGATCATTTCGGACAGCTCCAAGTGGACGATGACCTCGGCCTCTACCTGGTTACTGGACGGGGATGCGTTCTGACAATCCTGCAAGGACAAAACCTCAAAGTTTACTTCACATCGTTGTATCTCAAAACATCTGATACCACTTTTTTTTTTTTTCAAACCGATACCAGTACGAGTACTCTGGAGTAGTCATCAATACCGATACCACTATTCTTTTTGATACATAACCTTTCTGTCAAAACAATGAGAGATCATTTTAAAGAAAGATCGATGTATCCCAATATCGCAGTTTTCCTTTAAATAGCAAGAAATTAATGACAATTTCTGATTGTTTTTTTTTCCCCCCATTTGTTCATAAAACACATATTTTACGTGGAACGGGGGTCAGTATAGTAGCAGTGCACACATACGTCTGTCTGTCTTCTCAAACACGCATAAAGCAAACATTTTTTTCACGCCACTTTCTTCACCTGTCTAGTCATTCACACACTTAGACACTCCAAACACATCCGCACTTGATATAAAATGTCAATCTTTGACATAAATACCAAACCAAACACATCCAAAGTACATTCTTCTTGAGGGTTGACGGATGACTGCATGGCATGAGGTGTTCATTTACCGCGTTGCTTGTCACGCTGAGTTCCCCAGCGATGAATCCAGTCGAGCCTTCAGTGACGGTGTCTCTGTATCTGGTGATTCTGTTGGCCCAGTTATGACTGATGGAGCCGTTCCAAGCAGCCTGCAAACGGCGACGACGACGAGTCAGATGCGTCACAATCAATACGTGAAACACAAACGGCAGAAAAAGGCTGGTTTCGACCTTGGCTTCAGGTGCCAGGGCGCCCCCACCCTCCCAGGTGTCGCCGCTCACTATCAGGCTCTGCCCCTCGGGGGTTTCTGCGGACGAGTGGCCGAACTCTTGCCCGCTGGAGGGCATGAGCGTCTCCAGCTCGTGGCAATCACTGCACTCTGGCACATGGGTGGGACTGGGGTAGCCCCCTCTTCTGTACTGGGCGGTCGCAGCTGTGGAGTCTAGGCCGCCAGGTGTCCCTCTAATAGGAGGCACGCAAACAATACAATACAATACAATACAATGCATCTTTATTTATAAAGCGCTTTCACAACAGCTGCAGCTGTAATAAAGCGCTTTACAGAACAGTTAACATAAAATAACAACATAATATTACGAGACATTACATAAGACACGGACAGTCATGCATTCTTAGCCAGTGGATCAGGGACGTCATGCTGCACACGTCTGCTACAAGCTAAGTTTAAAAGTAAACAAGAAGCTGTAGCGTCCATTGGCGAAAAAAGATTCACTTCTCCTGTCCCATCCCTTTCAATTCTCAGAGCCGACTCTCAGTTCTAAATACGCATCCGCGCTCCATGCTTATGCTCCCCTCTCCTCAGCTCCAGCAGCCATCCATCCAGCCGCACCAACGAAGACTGTCCAACAGCGCCGACATCTCCGCTGAACAAAACGGGGCCGTGAAAAATGCTGCCCATTACAGGTGCAAAAAACACAAGCCCCCCCGGGGCGACAGACAACCAATCCTCCATTAAGCTTCTCCAGTTGGTCCAGAATGCTGCTGCCTGCCTCTTGACTGGTACTCATAAGAGGGAGCACATAACTCCGACTCTGGCATCCCTTCACTGGCTTCCTATACATTTTAGAGTTCTTTTGACCCTGTTATTTGTTTTCAAATCTTTTATTGGCCTCACCTCACCTTAGCTCTCTGAGCTCCACCGACCCTACGCACCTGCCAGGTGCCTCAGGTCATTCTTTGGCTTTCGAGTCAGCATGAGACTTGATTTTTTAGTTTTACTGCTTTTGTGCTTTCTACTGTCATTGTGAAAAATATTTTTTTTAATTGTTTGTTGTATGAATGATTTTTGATCATGTAGAGCACTTTATATACAGCGGTGTTTGCTTTAAAGTGCTCGATAAATAGAGTTGAGTTGATTTGAGTTGGTCTGTGTGTAAGCTACATTACCTGGTCTTAGTGTTGCGGAAACTGAAACACATGCAGAGGAGCATGCATATGAGCCCCAGGCACACTCCAACGATGATGCCTGTCACTGCATGGATGTCCAACTCTATTGAAAACAAGATTCAAAATATTAATATCAGAGATGGATACACAAATAACGTTTTTAGAATGACTTTTGGTAACAAAAGGCAATTTATATATTTTATATTATATGCCAATTATTTTTTTTAATATCTTGAATACAGTGAATGTTTTTTTCAGTTCATCTACAATAATACACTAATACTTTATTTATAATTTATGAGCTATCATTTTATTATTTTGTTTCATAGCAAAGATTCATCATCCAGTCATCCACTGGACTTACACTTTTTCCACTGTAATATAAAAACAGCAACAACCAAACTAATAAAATCAGTGTTTCCGAACCAGGGGTACACATAGCACCAGGGATACGTGAGCACATTGCAGGGAGTACGTGGAAACCATTAAACATTAATTTCCCAGACCTCTGGCAAAGCCACACCAAATCACAACAACAGTGTGTCAACTCAAGTGTCTCATTAAAAGATCAGGTGACTGATGAAAAGAAAGTAAAACTGCTTTAGTGGGTCTGAATATTATTCATGTTTGAGATTTTGTTCTTGATCTTTCAAGTTTAAATGTGCACTGTCCGCGCTGAGACACATGGGCTTAGTCTGAGCGAGACAGTGAGCTAAACTCTGGAGACGTGATGCAAGGCGTCCTGACGGTTATTTGTTGCTTTTAATACAAAATCTTGACATTAATGTTTGGGAGAGTGAATACTGTGTGTGCATGGGCGTGCATGCGATCACGGAAGGTCGGGTGGCTTGGAAATTAGATGTTCGGTCAAAAAAGGTTGTGCACCCCTGGTAGAAATAATCATAATAGAACAATGATTGTTATTATTGCTTCATTTATGTTGTTTTTTTGTTGTTTTTTTTTTTTGCAACTTTTCCATAAAAATGGAATACTGACAAAGAAGCTGTCAAATGAAAGTTACTGAGTCATTATGCATTGCTTTTATTTGTAATGGCTCTTTCGTAAATGATTGCCAATTTTCCCGCACAACAATCCACAATAAAGGAGCAGCAAATACACGCAGCTATTACGTACGTAACTGCACTCTGCCAAACAGAAACAATTTTGCCCACAATATCCCGTTTTAGTGTGGACAGCAAAGAGAACGAAATAAAGCAAGAGTGAACGCGCCACTACTTTATATAAGACAAGGCTAAAATTTTATATCAATCCATTCAACTGTCTTCATTGATATTCATTTATGCCGGCTTATTCTTTTTGGCAGCAGAGTAGAGAGGAAACAGATGGCAAGAGCTATCTAACACACACACACACACACACACACACACATTTCCATTCATTGTGCATAGTGGGCGGCACAGCAACCCATGATAGCAACATAACCGTGATACTCAGACTTTATGACATGTTATGGAACACTGGCTTTGTTCTGGCACATACACAAAATCTCTTGTGTGTCTGTCTGGAGTGACTACCAACCCATCGTGTATGGCATGCTACTGTAAATTAGTATCAGGTTTTTATGACACCATGAAACTGTCTTGAATTGTGAAAAAGATGGACAATATGTCTAGTTAGAAAGGAATGTAGATGTGATATGAATGGTACATACCGTATTGGTCAGGGGGTGTTTGAATGTCCTTTATGAGCGAATAAGGCCCGGCTCCCACCTCTGTCGATGCCCCCAACTTGAAAAAGTAATGGGTGCCACTGGTTAAGCCCCGCACCTCAACATTGGTGATGCTGCCTGTACGGTAGAGTAATCAGACACAGGAATGTAAGTGTTTTGGAGTGTGCATTCATGTTAATATCTGCTTCACAAAACTCGGGGGTTCAGGGTTCCAATCTAAGTTTCAAGCCTTTCAGTGGGGAGTTTGCATATTCTACCCTTGCTTGTGTGGCATTTCCATCAAAAATATCCATGATCAGTTAACTCAGTGCTTCGCAATTATTTTCTGTGAAGAAAATATTTCATGCACGCCAGCTCTCTGACATGATTAAGTAGTATCATTTGTTGATACAATTGTTTGTTGTTAAGTACATCCACGCATACTGTATCCTCATTCACATTAAAGAAAATTAAAAAAGAAAGAAATTTGGATCAACTGACGACTAAGAATCGATTAATGTATTTTTTTTTTTTTTTAAAGTCTCGCTCTGCCTTTCTTTTCATCCCTGTTAAATGTTTGTCCATGGTGTCTCTTAGGCTACTTTTACACTGCAGGGCTTGATGCCCAATTTAGGTGTTTTTGTTCAATTTTTTCATGTGCTCGTTCACATTAACAAAACAAATGTGACTTCAAATCCCGGGGTTACACGCGCCCCACTGGCATCACACCTCGAAGCTCCCGGGAAGCTTGTTTAGCTGCTGGTTGAGTGCAAGCGCCTGTGCTTAAAGCCAAACTGGGAAAGGGGTTTTTGCTTCCTGGACCTGGTTTTGACTACTCTGGTTGGGTTTACTATTAACAATTTGCAATATCAGCTCCTACTGTGTGTGTGTAAGGGGGGGGGGGGGGGGGGGGGGGTAAATATATGGCCATAAGAGATGTATGGTTCCCTCTGCAGTTGAGTGCCACATGAATATGCATGAATACTACAGTGTAGAGTGAAAAAAGAGAAAGCGAAAGAGATTTTACTTTAGTATTCTCCTGGAGATAAAGCATTTCCTTTCTCACCATCCTGAGAGAGGTTCCTCCACGTGTGTTCGGGTTGGCTCAAGTTACTGCTGAACAAGATCCTGTAGCCCACGATGACACCGTTTGGCTCCAGCGGAGGGCGCCAGCTCACCAGTACTGATGACGAATTGATGGTGCTCAGGCGCAGCTCCTGCGGTGCTGATGAAGGCCCTGATAGAACCCAAACAGGAGGGAGGGAGTTGGGGGCGCACCAGTCGGTAATTAAAAGTCACAAATAAGGTTCTCAGCTGGGGGTTTGTGTGTTTCATCTTGGTGGGGGATCGGACATGTTATATGACAACCATCTGTGTCCTCATATTGCAGCCACCTGGGTACAACCCGGAGACCACAGGCGGGCCAATGGGAGGGAAGGGAAGAGAGGCTGCAGCTTCGGAAAAAGGGGAATGGTAGCGCTTAATTCATTAGCACACACACTTCCATATTACCTGCCTACCCTTGACTGACAGCTCAACTGCACCATTTGATGCTATCCAAAACCCCAATTAAGTTCAGATGTTAACATATTTGTATTCACTTGAACAAGTTATAAGTCACAGTAATGGTGGAATTTTGAAATGATTTACTTTAATCTAAAAGATGACCTGGCATGTGAACAGGGGTGTGCAGACTTTTTATGTCTACTGTACCGGTAATTAATTTACTAACTTTAGGCAAATCCATTCACTTCATTTTTTTTAACCCAGTAGATACTCACGGTCGGCGAATGTGGACTCTTCCACGGTGCCGCTGAAGGGCCCCACCGCATCCATGCCGTTGGACTGTACCGCCAGCTCGTAGCGTGTGAAGGGCTTCAGCGCCCCGATCAGGATCTCCTGAGCGGCACTGCAACGCCACAAGGCAAGTTTAAAACAAGTGCCGGTCACGAGTCACTCATGTTTGTAAAAGGTGCAGAAAGGTTAGGGTGCAGAATGTATCGCGGAAACTCTGTGTGCCTTCGCTGACACTGTAGTTCTGTTCATCTGCACTGTGTCACGCTGACTGTCATTTCTAATACAACCTGAAGAAGTTAAACCAAAAATAAACAAGTATTCAGAGTATATCAGGAATTCACCGTGTTTCACTTCTTCCACATTCACAAGTATTCAGAGCGTTTCCTCAATCCTAAGCCTCCCAGTTGCACGCACATTGTAACCTTCAAAGCAGCAAAACATTTTCTGTTTCCTTTTCCAGTTTTGTGCCTCGAGGCAATCCTGTCTCGAAGGTCCACAGAACTTGTAAACTTCGCACAAGCAGGTAAAGCTGGGAGGATTATCCTTGTTAGGATAAACTATATGTGATAGGTACTGTACTAGATCCAAATAAATGAAAGAATTGCAACTTGTAGTCAAGTTGCTGCCACCCACTCTTCACCTCGGTATTTCCGGAGGCATGTTACAAAAATAAGATAATCCAGAAATGAGCTTCCTCCTTAGCTGGCTAGCTGGGGGCAGAAGCTGTCGAGCGTGTTTCCAGCACCAAAGTTCTCGACAAGATGCATGAGCTAAATGTGAACACCATTTGGTGGGCGGATATCCAAATTACGGTGATGGATAAAAACTACTGGACAGATGTTGAATTACTGAAGGTAAAGTGCTGAACATGGCATTTGAACAAATGTAACTTCAGAACTGTTCTCCCAAAATACGTACACTAAATATGTACTCTAAACAGTGTTTTCCCATGATTTTTTGTTTGTTTGTGTGCTTTAAATTGGTCGCCAATCAATCCTCAATCCACGCCTTGCCGAATGGTTGCCGGTCTGCGAAGCGCATGTATTTGTTTGAACCGGCCAGTGGCAAAAAAAAAAGTTTGGGGACAATTGATTTAGTGAATCAATCCACCTTTGACACTTTTTACCATTCATCTTTCTCATCCCTTTAAAAAAAAAAAAAAAAAACAAGAATGACCCCCCACCCCCGAACCCAATCCACAAAGGCTCTTAAAACACAAAGTATGCCTGTTTCGACCCTGAGCGGCAGAAGCCGAGACGGTGTAGCTGATGATGCGAAGGATGACAGACATCCGGGCTCACCTGGTATGGTACGTGACCAGAGAGGCGTTGGTGGTTCCGGCCGGGCTGCAGCGCACCGTGTAGTTGATGATGCGCACCGTGCTGAAGCGAGGTTTCTCCCAGCGGAGCCGGATCGACGTGGAGCTGTTGGCTGCGGCCTGAATACTGCTCGGTGGTAAAGGGGGCGGCCGCATGGGTAGCGAAGATGCTTGAATGTGAAAACAGGCCTTTGTTATGTAACTTATTTATGTTTTTATTTTAATGATAAAATCTGGAGGTGGACTTCTCTGCCTGATATCTGAAGCGGTCCGACTTTGGCTCTCAAACTTCTGACATGATGAAATATTAGGGGTTTGCATTTCCCCAATAAAATATGATTCTATACATATCTTGATATATGGGATGCGATACAATTCAAGGACGGTTAATATAAAGGTGGAACGATGTGATTCAGTTCGATTCAGTGGGATTCCGATTCAGTACGGGACGACTCACTTCGAGAGGGGATGATGCAATGAGTTTTTTGTCATTTTACATTCCTACTGATCCTCTCAGTAGTATAAATGGGGCATTATGTATTCGGGGTGTGCACCTCACAACTAAAAGACGACTGTATACATATCTCAATATATTTTTAAGTGGAAGAATTCGATTCGGTGTGATTCGATACACTCACATTTTGTTCAACTACCTGGGCCACATTTCACCGAGTTCAAAGTTGAAACACAAAATTATTTTTTAGTTATTATTATTATTTTTAGTTCAACTACACATAAACACTTCAGAGGAAAAAGTGTTTTTTCTGAGCCAGCATTCGCAAGTGTTTGAATGATCAGAATGGTACCACCTCTGCATCAATTTGAGCGAGGGAAAACCCTGTTTAGCTTGTATTGTCTTCAGGCATTCTGCAGTTCTACGGGATTCTTACCTTTACTAGCCTTTTCGGTCCTTCCTTTCCACACTGCAGCGGAGCCATCGGCCTGCTTGTTGAATGCCCAGACTCTCACCTCATATAGATGGTCTGGGACTAACACAAACGTAGCAAAAGGAATGAGGATTGCGATATCTTACAAGTAGGACTTCATTTTCATTTGTTTGAAAAAATGTACTTCAACAGACAACGACAAGCCAATGGAATACATGATCTCAGTAAGTACCGTATTTTCCGCACTATAAGGCGCTTCGGAGTATAAGGCGGACCTTCAATGAATGGCCAATTTTAAAACTGTTTTCATATATAGCGTGCACCACATTATAAGGCGCATAGAATATAAGCTACAATAGTCGCTGCGGTTGTGTTATGCATCTGCTAGATGGAGCTACCCTAAAGGGGATACAAGACAATACAATGCAGCTTTACTTATATAGAGCCTTCGCAACCACTGCAGCTGTAACAAAGCCCTTTTCAGAACATTTAAAATACTATGTCCAAGAAATCAGAATATTGATCCATATATAAGACGCGCTGTCGGCTTTTGAGACAATTGAATGCTTTTAGGTGCGCCTTGTGGTGCGGAAAATACGGTATATAAATGTCGAACATTATGCGTACACATCACCATGAACATTCACAGAGCCATAAACGATATAAGAATAAAAAAATATATGTATGACATGTAAATGTAAGATATCTCAAAGAAACTATTGCTTTACCTTTAACTCAGTATGATATGACAGTGATATAAATGTATGCATTAATACTAAAAGTCTTAACAAAGTCTGACGACAACCATCAATCAATTTTGTATCCTGCTAATGCTCATTAGGGTCATGAGTAAAGTCACACCCTATGCAAGATAACTTGCATGGCATACCCTGGACTGGTCACCAGCCAATCCCAACATACAAGAGGAAACGGAAATTCTTGAGGAGAGATTCACCTCTCAGGCTGTGAAACACAATGAGAGCAACTTACCAAGCCCAGTGAGGAGATGGTATCTGGCTTTTTTGCGGAGCCTGACCAGGTGAGTCTGCGTCATCTTCTCCACGTCGGCGTCCACCTCTCGGCAGGACAGCTTGTACCCGGAGACGACCGTGTGATTGGGCGAGGGCTGCCACGTGATGTTGAGTGTGCTCACTTGCGCTCGCACCTTCAGCTCAGTGGGAGCAAACATCACTGGGTACGTGAAGGAATGGGATTGTTTTAGTCTCCAGGCAGGTCGAATGAGACACTGAGGGCTAACGTGGGTGATACAGTATCGGAGCCGCCATGGACCCTTATATATTACGTAGATTCATTCAGCATCATGGAAACATTATGCAAAAGGCCAATTCCGATTTCTTTTCTGTATTCAAAAGATTTTGATTTTTTCTTCTAATGCTTCTTACAAGGGTGAATTTTGAGGTGTTGCGAGCTGTCGAGATGCTAAAAAATAAAACTATAAAATATTTCACTTCACATGTTTGAATCACTTGTAAATGAGTTGGAACTTGAATAATTATCATAAGTACGGCACATTTTGCAGGACATTTGCCTTTCAAAGGCTATTGTATGCAAACGTAAAACCGCATAGATATCAGGCTTAAAATGATGTGTAAAACAGTAGGACAAAATGAATTTTGATGGCATTGGACTTTTAATTGGATTCAAGTGGACAAACAGTCCAGATTGATGACATGAGTTCATGTAAAAATTAAAATGACAATTTCACTGGGACCTTTTTTTGTTGTTGTAAGGCACAAATGTGTTGCTTTTCATGGCGCTTTGCCAATTGAGGTTCATCTAAGGACCGAGACGTAAATTAATAGTGCCTTATAACCCTTCCGTCTTCAAATGAATGGCTTTGCAGCTCCCACACAGTCAACATATAACTCAATGCATGTGTCAGTGTGGCGGACAGACACCTCACTGACTGACATCTCTTAATGTATGTCATTAAACGCCCACCTTCATTAGGCTTGCGGAGATTAATAAAGAGCTTAACCCAGCTACATTTTCCCCCAAATTAATACGTCCTACATTTTATCTTGTTCCAGTGACTGACAAGCTGATGCGGAATACTTTGCAGTTCCTGCAAAGCCAAGGCAGACACATTGTTCTGTCCGCATTGTTCGGGCCGCCGACTACTGTCTATGAGTGATCGGACGGTGGATTCACTGAGATAAGTGCATGTTACGTGATAAAAATAAATTAAAAAAAAAAACATCTCAGAGACGGAAGCTAGCAGGCAGGGTTGTGAAACCTAACACCAATAAATATGTCTTACTTCAATAAAACGCACATAAATCTTCAGCCCAAAATGTGGGAATTCCCACACAACAAGTCTGAAGTCATCAGGCTTACCCATGCGATGGCTGGTGTGGTTGTAGTGGGCCAGCGTCTGGTGCTGAGCCCACTCGGACGGGACCCCGAAGCCGACACCTGTTCCAGCTGCTATTCTCAATCTGTACGCCTGGTTGGGCTGCAACTCCCTGAGCGTAAACTGGGTCTCATTACCGCCCACCTCCACCGAGAAGACAGTATCCACTGTGGGAAAATAAAGACGGTAGACTAATTCACTGGGATTGACTGGACTGGCTCATCAGCAACGGAGTCAATTTTCACCCTCGTAAAGACAATCACGGTAGATGGGAAAATGCTTGATTTTTATGTATTTATTTATTTGAAATGAATATGTCTGTTAATGACTTTCATCAACGTACCCCATGGATGTACAGATTGGTTTTTTTTTCCAGCATATTTCTTGTCTTGCTATGAACATCCCGTTGTCAGAATTCACTTCTGATTTATGGAAGTAAGAGACTGTACATCCCACCATAAATACTGCAGAACCAAAAACATACAGGGTCCACCGTGGCGGGGATGGGCAATGTGAGTATAGTAGCCAAGTGTAGAAGCCACTCTCATGGCAAATCATTGTCATTGTAGTCGGGGTATACAATCCACACTGATATGAGACAGGTCACGATGAAATGAGACCTGCCCCACAAAAATGGGTCGATTTCAGCAAGACAAGACATAGAGTGTGAAAAGTGATGTGCCATTCTCGCATTTGTCATCTCTTGGGTTATTTTGACAAACGCATGTCACAGACATAAGTACAACGAGGAATTGTGTTAAATTGTGGGGGAAAAAAAATTACTCCTTTAAGAAGACTGACAATGAGTAAATTCCCACAGCCATCCTCATTCGAAATCAATTTAAATTCAGAAGAGCTATTGGTTTCTTTGAAGAAAAATATACACTAAGAAGAGATACTTAGACTTGTGTCTGTGAAAGAATACAAAGTGACTTAGCTTGACCTTCATCATTCATATGATCTTCTCACCATTATCCAGAGAGCTGTACTCGATACGGTAGCTGGTAACAGCCCCTCGACTGTGCTGCGAGGACAACGGATGCCACATCAACCTAATGTCTGTCGGTGACGTGCTGGCAATTGACAGCTGAGGGGGCGCGCTAGGCACTGGAAGACAGATGAGGACAAACAGTCTTTACAGTCTATAGAATAATGAAGCCAGAATACAGAATAGAAAGTCATCTCCCGACAGGTATGATACGTACCATCCTCGAGCATGTCGACAGTAACGGGCAGTGACGGGCGACTGGCTCCCATGGGAGAGTAGGCCACCACAAAGAAGGTGTAGGCGGTGTGGGGGAGAAGATCCTTGACGTGATACTCCGTTGTGTCGTTGTTCATCGCAAACTGATATTCCACGTTGTCTGAACCTGGGGAATAATCCAAATCAGTCCATTTCCTGAAATAGTTGGCTTTCATCACCTTTACGAGGACTGGCACCATCATGCGTTAGGGTAGACATCTTAAATGGATCAGATACTGCCGACAGAGCCTGTCAAAATTTTGCTTGAGTTGAAAGAAAAAAAATGAAATGAAGTTGCTGGAGTGGAAGATTTTAAGTATCGTTTAAAATGAATTATTAATGATCCATCCATCCATCAATCCATTATCTGAGACGCTTTTCCTCACGAGGGTCGCTGTAGCCTACCCCAGTTGTTTTCGGGCAGTAAGCGGGGTACACCCTGAACTGGTTGCTGGGCAACGCAGGGCACACACAGACAAACAACCATTCACGCTCGAAATCACACCTAGGGACAATTTAGAGTGCTCAATCAACCAAGCATGTATGTTTTTAGAATGTGGGAGGAAACCGGAGTACCCGGAGAAAACCCAGGCAGGCACGGGGAGAACATGAAAACTCCACATAGGAAGGCCAGAAAGAGAAGGACGTGCTGCCTAGTGATAAATGAAGTAAGACTTATTTCATAATACAATATAGAATGCCCTGTATGTATGCAAATATTGCATACATTTGCATTTTATTTTCAATGTAATTTATGTGAGACATAATCAATATATAGGTTATACAATTAAATGACTTGACAAAAAATTATATATATATATCTATATATATATATATATATATATATATATATATATATGGACACTATTTGAAGACATACTGTATGCATGCTCACCTGCAGCCCGCTGGCAGTGCACCGAGTAGCCAATGATTCGGTCTGAGTTGTACTCTGGTTTGTCCCACGTGAGGAGAGCAGTGGTGCTGGAGTAAGGGGCGACCGAGAGACGTCGAGGCCGGCTGGGGAGGCCCTCCCTCACAATGACAGTGAGTTTGGCGGTGGCGCAGGCGGTGCCCAGGCCGTTGTCGGCGATGCACTGGTAGTAGCCAGCGTCCTCCAGGGCTAGGTGGTTGATGAGAAGGACGCCAGGGTTTTGGGTTTTGGTACGACGCAAGGAGCGGATTGGCTTGCCGTTCTTCAACCAGTGCAACACCGGGGTGGGATCCCCTGAGCTGTTACACACAAACCTGGCCGTGTTTCCTCGGGAGACAGACACCGTCTCTGGGGGCTGAAGAATGACTGGAGGGGCTGGTGAGAGAGGCAGACTTTGAAACATGGGCAATGGTCAGGTGGAGTGAGTAGGGGTTTGTCTGTGTCGTCTATTCATTAAGAGCAGAAATCTGCCCTTCATAACTCTTGGTTCCATTGTATTTTGTATTTTATATTTAATACAGAGTAGTGATTTAACTGCAAAATGAACAAGCATTAATAATGATTGCTTGTTTCTTATTCAAGCAGCCATTGGTATTTGTCTAATTATTTGGTCGGTAACATGGCAAAAAATATCATGTTTATGTTTTTTAAGCTGCTGACCAACTTCCACAAACTAAGGGCCTAAATTTGCTTGAGTAGTCACGTTTTCAGATTTCATTAACTTAATCGAAGTGAGGCCATCCTTAAGGAATTTCAAGTCTCAATATTGGAACTATCGCGTGTCTCTTCTCGGGGCTATTAGATGTTGTGGCCTATTGTGTTGCTGGAATTGGTTTCAACAAACACTAAAGCAGTCCATGGCCATTTTTTTTTTCTATATGCGCTCCTTAGAGAACTGTTGGCATAATAGGAAATGTTCTGTTCCATTATTTGCTGCCCTTAGGGTCTCATAACACTCCTGGCTGCCATACACGGGTTAAGTGGAAAAGTGACAATCCTGTGATAAAACTAAGAAAATGCTCTTCTTATGTCGTCTGCTCTAATGCTAAAATGTCATTTCTATAATGATTCCTCAGTAATATTTGTTGGTGCCACATATTATATTTCTTCATGCAAAATTGCCACTGGGATTTACTGCCACCTTATCGTTCGCTGAATTTTCAAGGTGTTCCCTAAAGATTCGTTCTGGAGCTTCATTTGACGTGTGCTTAAGTGAAATTAGGTTTACCGGCAGATTTAACGAAAACTGGATTGCATTATTTGAATGCCAGTGGTGGGCTAACCGAGGCAAATTTAAAGCATTTACGTATTGGACTTGTCCCTTATATTCCGGTGCTGCTAAGGCAAATTTCCTCCCCTTAGACACTCCAAAGAGGAATACGGCGCTTTTACAGAGCAGTACTTTTGCTATTTTTTTTTCCTTGCTTCACTCCCTAGACGAAAACAACTGACAACAACACTCATGTTCTGTACAATTATTTGCTGACTTGAGGGTATGTCAACCCAAGAGCCAAGCGTAATTTACCAGGCACATGCAGCTCAGCAGCGGCGGTAACGAACTCTCTGGTGCGAGGCTTGTTGGCCCTGCAGACATAGATGCCCCGGTGGTGGCGCCTCGTGGCTCTGATGAGCAGGTTCGTAGCGAGGACAACCACGTCTGTGGAAATGGGCTTCCCATCTGATCAATGTGGAACAATAAACAGTGTGTGACGAAATGCTGGTATAATGTTGCGGTTTTTCAAAGACGCGGCACTCAGAAAGAGGGATTTTTAGTTTTTAATCATGCTCATATGCAAATCTGTGCTCCGTTCGGTGAGGAAAAAAATCATTGACGATTCAGCTGCAGTCATGCAAAATAATAGTGTACCTTACAAGACCACATCTTAGCGAGTATCAAACCTTTGGGAACGTTTCTTTTTGAGACACTTTTTTCTCTCATTGTCATGCAATGTGCCTTCACCTCATTCATGTTTTACATTTTTGCAACACATCTGACAGAGGCGAAAGAAGGTGAGAAAAAAAATTCTCATTCAAATTCAGGTAGCGCAGTTCACATTTTATCCTGAAGAGCGGTTGACTTCTTTTTACACTTCTATAGCAATTAGGAATGGTGAAAATGTCAAAATAAACAAATGAATAAGTAAACCACAGTGTCATTCAAGCTCGGACAGAGAGAGTCATATTGTTTATATTAATGAACATTGGTTACCTTATCGTTACATTTGTATGACAGAAAATGCTAAAATCTTATATGTCCACATGTAGTTCTAGTTCTGTACAAGGTTGATGTTGCCTTCGACCGTGGAAGGCGTTTGTCGTACTTCAAGTGTTTTAGAATTCCAAATAAAATGGAGGTGGACCCACATCCTGGATTTGGCCACGATATGAAGTACACTTAATTTGTCTGGTGTCAATCAAAATCGGCCACTATTATTTTCTGTGAAATTTTTAATGGAACTTTAGATTTGACTTCAGGTTAGCAGACTTTAAAATTTCAAAGAACTGCCGAACATAAAACTAATATGGTAAAAAAAAAAAGTGTGTATGTGTGTATGTGTGCGTGTGCGTGTGTGTGTGTGCGTGTGTGTGCGCGCTCTGTGAAAGCACGCATGAACTTGACATGACAAATCACCTAATGGAAAGCACTGCATAACAGAACAATAGAACAATAGCGGCGATGTCTATTGTTCGTGAGACTCTTTCAGCTGCAGGTAGGCAAAGGCAGTTCTTCTTAGGAAGACTGACAACGCGTGAGTCATCGACACGTTGAAAGAAGAAGAGGACAGCAGAAGGGGATGAAGTAAGAAAATTGTGTTCAGGCATGGTGGGGGAAGTGTGTGTGTGTGTGTGTGTGGGGGGGGGGGGTCCTGGGGGGGCATTACCTAGTCTGCTCCAGGACACCAGTGGCTTGGGCTGGCCCTGCGCCATGCACTCCATCACGGCTGGACGGCCGAACAGCGCCGTTGCATTCTGAGGCGGTGCTACAATCAGAACTCTGTTCAGGTCTCCTGCAGAGCCTGGACAACAGACGAACACAGTAGTGCAAAGGCTCTCTTGAAACTGCTTCATTTCTTTGTCATTATTGTTCTTCCGCCCCCCTCCTCCCCCACTCCTAAAAAAAAGGCAATTTTGAGGGTTTTCTGAAAAAAAAAAGTATGGTAGGGAGAACAAAGTCATATACGAAACGCATTCTTCACTTTCTCGCACGATTGTATTTGTGTTCATTGTTGCTTTCTTCACGTTTCAGCCTTTTACTGAAAGCTTAAGAAAGATGACGCATAACAGTTCTTTGTCGAGATCTTGCAACTGAGATTGAGTCCATTGGTACGTATATGATGTCTGACGTGACCATTCTGCAAATATAGGAATGCACCCGTCTGTTACATCAGAAGGCTTTCTCGGTTCCACTTCTCAGTTCAATTACTGTGGGCCCCCTATCCTCCAATTTATTTCTTTATTTTATTTTATTTTTTCATTTGTGGAACTTGTCTGCACATCTGTTACGGAAATCTGCAGTTCATCCCAATCGTTTTTATTCTGGGACTTAACGTTTTTTCATGCTATCCTAAATACTGTACAGTATTGAAAACACATACTATTGATTAAAGTTCTGCCATTGAACATGTATAGCAAATAACAAAGATTTAAGATGAGTTACAGGATTTCCGACATGAGGTAGATGGAGAGCGCTCTGAGAGGCTCGAGGACATTGATCGGAATGTAGTTTTTCAGGAATGAAAGGGGGTTTCGACGCAACAAGAATTTCCAAGGTTTCAGTTGCTCCTTCACATGGAGTTGTTCATATGTCAAGTGCCACTGTGTTCGACACGATTATACAGAGCAGTTATTTCGAAGCCGCCTTGAAACCATCAAGCGGTGAAAACGAGGAGAAATTCAAAGAGAGTAGGTTATGTTCATAATATATAAAGGTCATGGCAACTAACACAAATATCTGAATTCGAAATATCACATGTTAAATGGGAAAAACACTTCTGAAGAATTTAAGACCAATGTCTCCTTTCAGCAGGATTGCCCACTTTCCGCAGTTTAGCTATGCGCCGTGTCGAAACTGCTAAAATCCAAATCGCGCTGAATGAAGCATTCAAAATAAGACAACCATTGCGGGAGAACCACTGTGTCCCGTACGAACCCCTCTGAGGAAGATACATTTTATTCATGAGAAGACTTAGAGCGGCAATCATGCGGAGAAGATTGCGGAGTAAAACAGCAACTTTCATATTGGCTACGTCATGAATACTGCCGCTCCATCTGAAAATTAGTGGCGCTGTGGATTTGCATTTGTACTTTTACGCCGTTATCTGTAAATCAAGAACTGGTTGAGAGCGGAAGCTCAGCGGGCTTCCTTCTGGGCATAAAGGAACCTCGGTAATTTGAATCCGCAGCTCCGGATCGGGCAAACGTTTGAAGCACAGTGATGATGGCATGAATAAAGTCTTTTTGTCAAAACCATTCCGCAACCACCCGCGAGTGACCAAAGACTTCACGCTGTGCAGAGAGAGGTATTGCATTCCAGTCGGTTGGTTGATTTAAATAAAATAAAACGCAGGTTCTCCGCGTGAATTTGATGTCTCTGTTTTTGTTGTTGTTTTTTTTTTTTGTATGCTGTCTGTGTTTTTAATGAGTGTATTTTTCCAAGGATTTGAGTGAGAAACAACAATGGTGATCAAAATTATAAAAACTGTGGATAAATAAGATGAAGTTTGTTAAGCCCATTGAATTATACGGGTGGCATCAACTGCACAAACATCTCAAATCGAATCAATGAAGAAATTACCGTAGTTAACATTAAAAATGGGTAAAAGTTCATGTTTATGGAGAAAACAAATATGGGTTTTAACATAAAGTGTCCCACTTAAATCATCTCATCTCGATATTTTGTGATTTTTTTTTTCAAGATAAAACCAAAACCTGAAAACGTCATCGAGAGGTACAGTAATCCATCGGTATATTGTTCTGCGCTGTAGCTCGTATTTTTATTCTCTAATCATTCTTACATATAGTACAGAATTTCCCAAACAATTAATTCTTAATTCTTGCGTGCGTTCAAGTGTTTTCATAAGTTTAAATGTGTTCAAGCATGCGAGAGGGGTACTTTAAAAACATAATTAAGTGAGTATTGTGACTCACACATAAATTTCACAGGGCTAAAGTGAAGGACTGTATACGCCAGCGTTAAAAATGTTCTCAGAGAAACTTTGCTCTGCAGCAGACCGACCTGCGGTGACAGTGAGCCGCGCCTCGTGACTGATGTCCCTCCGGGCAGAGTTGGATGCAACACAGCGGTAGGCGCCCTCATCCTCTCTGGTCACCTCCAGAATCTGGAGCACGCCGATTGGAAGGGAAATGAACCTGCTTCACACAGGGAGAAGATGAGAAAGAAAAGGGAGACGGGAGTCAGAAGCCGAATACAAACAAGACGCAGGGAGTCGACACAGCCGAGTCGAGTCTGCGGGATTCCGACTGTGTCCTCTCAAGGCGGTGATCCTCCTTGTTAAAGCGGGAGACCATTGACTGCAGTCACAACATGAGCGTTGTGACTAGAATATGAAAACTCGATGAAAACATGAAGATGGAAAATGAGCTGCATTTCTGGATGGAGGTCTTGCACGAATGGACTATAATAACCATATTGTGAATAAAGGTCCGCGGTATTTATTTGGACAAAAGGGTTCATTTGTGACCCACCTTGGAACAATGTTATCATTAAAAACAACCGCAAAATACAGACTAGCAATGTTTATTGCATGGGATATGATCTAGTTCTAGACCGACCCATTAAACAAAGTTCAACTTCTTAAAATACACTGAAACTTAGTAAATATTCTTTTGCACCTGTTCTCACCTTCAGTCACGAAATGTGACTCTACAGTATAAAATTACTTTGAGGAAACAATACGACTTTACGACGAAATTAGAGGCACAGCACACTTGCTTCAAGCGGTTTATTTGTCACTCCAGGCTGAAATTTGCTCTAAAAGTGGAGAGTTGTTGAGTGTGTTAATGGATGCGTCACTCAACTGTGGCTGTTTCATTCATGCTTTACGCCTGCTTCATATTTTTCACACAACACTTACATGACTTATCCCCAAAAATGATCGCAAATGTTATTTTCGCCCTGGAAAATGTTCCAAACCCTCTCGTGAAAACCCATTAAAAAATGCTGGCGCGTGAATGATGAACCGTTGCGATCCCTCAAAATAGTTTAACATCATTTGAAAATCATCTTTCAATATTACCCTTAAAAATAAAGAGCTTACAAAAAACAATGCACCAAGGATGTGCGAGGACACTGCTTTGCAACCATAAAAATAAAAGAGCTTACAAAAAAAAAAATGCACCAAGGATGTGCGAGGACACCGCTTTGCAACCATAAAAATAAAAATTAGTACTCTGAGTCTTTTTTTTTTTCATTTTTGACATTGTGATACATAGATACTGTGATCACTGGCCTACTTGCGGTTCACAAATTCACCAACTAGCGTTTTTTTGTGTAACCTATCCACCGAAGTGCATTGCTGTTCGAGGCGCTTTTTTTAATGCTCTAAAAGATGAAGACAGGGCCAAAGCCGTGGTGAATAAGAAGGTGGTTTGTGTAACCTATCCACCGAAGTGCATTGCTGTTCAACGCTCTTTTTTTAAATGCTCTAAAAGATGAAGACGTGGCCAAATCCGTGGTGAATAAGAAGGTGAAGGTGAATGGTCAGTTGTGAATCGGTAGAGGTTCACTCGAACTAGGTATACCGTGAAATAGAACCAGGAGATGGACAAGATATAGACAAAAAATGAAAAAAAACAACAAGCCAATGAGGAGTAACAAACCAAAAACAAAAACAAAAACAAAAGACCCATCATAGCAGCAGCGAGGGAAGACAAAAAGCCAGCTCATGGTGACAGGCCATTAGCAACGGCCGAGGTGTCCGAGCCTCATTTCACCCACGGGCCCTCGTAAGCATCAAGCTGCTCGCAGGTCACATGGGGCTGCGCCAGCCATTAGTGACGAGCCGGGCGCGAGAGAGCTGGAAACGACCACCAAATGGCCCAGGCAGACCGGGTGCCAACGAATAAGTCATGAAGCTCCCCGGGACATAAACAACATGGGAAATAAACAACATCACGACAACGCCTCCGCAAAAATGTAGATATTGCCCTGAATACTTCACAGTGAACTCATTTAAACATGCAGTTGTGACCCGACACTTACCTGAGAGAGTGCTAATGCTCTCTGTGTATTTTGAATCAATATAATACATGAGAGTCACTTTTGGAATCGCACAACTGAAATTATGTTGATTCACATTGACTGCAGGAAGGGAATACAGTGGTAACTCTACTGACGAACGTCTCTTCATACGAAATTTTCAAGTTACGAAACGCCTCAACAGGAACATATTGCCTCTTGTTACGAAAGACATCTCAAGATATGAAAGGTAAAAATACAGTATGGGCTGCTCCTCACATCTCCGAGTTTCCTGAACGCAACATACTCATAGCTGCTCTGCCATTGGCTATTGACGAGCATCATTCTGGCATCCCATTGGCTACGAGGGACCTCTACCGTACGAGTCCGTGAGTAGATGGATAGAAATGTGTCTCTCGTCATTCGACCCTCGGGCCATGAGACGTTCTGATAGTTAGACGTAAATGTGAATCACCCAGAAAAAGTGTTCACCAGTCGGGTGATCGCTTACGATGCTGATGTTTGCCGTGGACATTTTCAAAGGATTGTTAAACGCAGACAAAAGCAAACGTCCCTGGATCAGTTCTCTACAAAACGCCAGGCAAGAAACACTTGTGAGAGAGAACATGAACTAAAGAGGTAAAAAACAATGAGGACAGAGTTAAAAGTTAAATGACCATCATTTTTATTCTTTATTCTTTGTTTTTTACATTATGCACAACTCTCATTATTGTGCAATAATCTAATTGTAACATGGATTTGTTACATATTTTGATTTATTTTTATGCTTCAGAAAACTATGTCTGAATTTTTTGGGAGGGAGAGGGGCTTGGAACGGATTAGGGCATTTACATGGAAAACATGTCTAGACTATATACATATTTTCTAGTTAAGAACTTTCTTCCAGAACCAATCAATTTCATAAGTAGAGGTACCACTGTACAAGTGATCAAAACGATTTCTAAGCGTGGCTAGAGCCTGACAACTTCCTGTCCATTATATAATATGTTCAGTACGGCTCTGGAATAAACGAAAAAAAAAAAAAATCCAACTCTGAATGAACCCGTTTGTTGTCTTTATGACAGGATAAAGTGTCCATGTGAAAAAGGGCCGCTATTTAAGCAACGAGCCTATCCAAAAAGTTTCTTTGCAGAATTTATCACCTTGAAAATCCATTAAAAAGGAAAAGAAACTGTCAGTATGGGAAAAAAAATTGATATATAACACAAACCATCATATTCAGCGCACCTTATTATGCTCATTGTACTCGGCAAACAGTAAAAACCACTTAAGTGAATTAGCTTGATAACCAAGGTCATAGCACAAGCGAGTTCACTTTATTGTACCCCGCATTGTGGTAATGAATTCTATCAGAACCCTCTTGAAGACATTTCATAGAAAATGTGATGTATTACGATTTTGTCATTAATTAAAAGGAAAAAAAAAAAAAAAAAATGAAACAAGGAATGTTAATGGAGTTTTAGCCAAATGACCAACATGCATCACTTGGAATCGTCTGACTGCGATCAGTCCGTGGGATGACATTCACGTGCACGTCTGTTAATAAAAGTGGACCATTTGCAGTCTAGACTCAGGCTATTTATTGATGAATCAATTGTGCTTCTGTGACACAAATCAGCAGCAAATCCCACAAACACGGACGATCCTGGCGAATACCATCGGTCTCGCTGTTTTATAACCCGACGGATATTTGTAGCCGTGTTTTACCTCGAAAGACATTTGTTCTTGCACCCTCCCCCCCAAATAAATTGGTGAGCCTCAGCACCAGGTGCATGTTCCCTGGTAAATTTTCAGGGTCACTCAATGACACCCCATGAAATGTTGGGAAAAAATGGATCCCAACACCATGTCATCTCTTACCACAAAATTGGGTGGACATGCCAATATGATGCGAAAAATCTCAAGGACCCATGCATTACGTTTTGGGGGTTATGGTTCGCCCACTCCTCTACTCAGGTATTCCGCAAGCATTGCAGCAAGGCTGGAAACTTGAGCAAAAGAAAAAAAAAATAACACTAGAAGAACATACCACAAATACGAGGCATAAAAGCAATTGAATCTGAGTCACCTTGGGTCCTGGGGGACAGCGACTTTGTCCTTTTCCCAAGTAATTACAGGTGTGGGCACGCCATCGATCTGGCACTCGAAGCGAGCAGCCCCCCCAGCGGGTACCGTCTGAGGTGAAGGCTCCTGACGGAAGGAGGACAGACCTGCGGAAGGAGAACATGGCGGTTACACGCGTGCCGCGCAACCATTCGTGCACTTTTGCTGTCGGTCGCTCGCTGGGTGACACAGTGCAATTATCTCAAATCCCTTCCCGACAGTGCCAATATAGCAGCACACTTTTCATAAAGGCAGTCTGATCAGGGTGGGAAAGGCACTTGCAGCATCCACTTGTACCTTGAGTGAGTTCAAAACAGATACTGAGACTTCCCGAGCTCAGTCAACCATAATGTATGCTTAATGTATCAAGTCATTAATAACTTGGACCTTTTTCCAATTAGCTCCTCTCCACCTGGGACATAACACCAGATCTGAATATATCCGAAAGTTAATTGTGCACACAGGGATCATTGACTTTTGGACATATGCCCCTGACACATAATTTTTTTTTAATAAGGCACTTTAGTTTTTACCAAATAGCGACTGGCCACGTTGAGCAGGAGGAAAAAGTTTCCTCTGCACCAACTACGTGGAGTTAAACATCATGATTGGGACAAAGCGCTGGGATTTAATCTAGTGTGGCGGGATTACTTTGTCTCTTTAGTCGGAATTTGCTGGCAGGGCTCCAGTGTTCACAGCTTCCCACTTTCACACGCGGGGGGAACGCTTCCTGCTAGATAATACCGAGCACCAGGGGGCAGCAGCGAGCATGATGTTCGGGTCAAAGGTGCTTTTATCTTTGACCCCTTCCAGCAGGCTTTTTTTGACTGGGGAACAGGACTATTTGGCCTGCGGCCGTTTTGGAAATGGAGAGGAGAGAAATTCCAATGTATTCTGACACCTGGACAGTCATTTTCAGCCTGCTCTCCCAAGTATCATGGAAAAAAAGTATTTACATATTTTAGTTTTCCCAAAAAAACAAAAAAAAAAAAAACCCAAAGTTCAGCCAACTTTTACTATAATTTTTCAGAAAAACCGGAGATCAAGTGTCAGTTTATGTACAATGATAGACCTAAGTTTTAGTTCTCATTCCTTTGGAGTTATTGAGAGATCGAGTAACTCCACAGCAATTTGTGCACGGCCTCATTAATCCTCTCGAGACCTCCGCTGAGTGTGTGCAGAGGCTAATGTGTTTTTCTTTGGCTTTGGATCAGAGGCAACTTTCCTTTTCAACAAAAATGCTACATTAGAAAAAGTGATACTGGAGTGATAGTGCAGTCAATGCAGTAACAATAAAAATCTTCAATATACTCATTTGCTATATATCCTCTTTTCACCAGTCACCAGTGTAATGCTAGGCACTAGTCTCTTTTTTGGGTTCTATTCAAAAAATAGGTGCTGAAAAGGCAGATTTAAAATCTTACAGCCTGAATACACAACATTATTTTTGAGAATGTTCACATGCTATTGACAAGTAACAGTAAAGCTTTTAGGGTGAAAACAGCACGACCCTGGAATGGAGTATTTTTCAAATTCCATTCTTTCTTTTGGTAGATAGAGAAGAATTATATTCATTCTAAGAGGTCTCACAGTATTAATTACATGACTTTTTGATTTAACATGCCACACTTTGCCGATTACGCAACTATCATTCATAACTGGACACTGATTAAAAAAAAAAAAAAATCTTTTCAGAAAACTGACATTGATTTTTGTTTGGCAAGCTCCGCAGGACGGGTTGATGATTAAGCTTTAACTTCCATCTATTACATCATCAGGTAAACACATCAACTCTATCAGCACCAAAGTGGCGTGTATGTAAAGTTGAAGCACAGCTGACCAGGGATAGAGTACAATATCATCTATTAAGTTTTTTTTTTTTTTTTTTTTCCCCCATGATGCAATGCATTTGTTTGGGAACAGAGCGAGTCCACCGGGGACCTATCAGAGCTCGCACCCATACATGTCATATCATTTACAAACAGAACAGTGTTCTTTTCATGCGTTTAATGGTTGACACCATCGTAATACGTGCGATATGAATTCACCCAGTTTCCCTGTGTCGGTGTCAGCCTGTGCCCCCACTCTTTGGCCCCGTAGCTATCAGACTGAAGCTATTATCCCGCCACCTCCATTTATGAAAGCAAGATAATCCATCCATCCGATGACCTCCTTTCCGGACTGTTTATTTTTTGTTTGTTTGTTTTTGTTGGTGACTGTTGCACAATGAAACCCCATCAAACATTACTCTGGTAAAACTAAAGTATTGGGACATACAGGTATAGCCGTGATGCTAACGAGATGGAGCAACGAGGATGTCACATGTTTAAAGAGAAAGACTGGGGACCAAAACAACGTTATTGGGTGAGTTGAAGGAAGGCATTTTCTCACAAGTATTGATAAAATATTTGGTTGAGCGATTTAACAAATCGTAATGGCTAGCCTGCTAGTAGATGAAAGTACATTTAGCATTTCAATCCCAAAAGAGCACACCTGTGCCATTAATCAGAGCAACAAAAATGCCAATTTACTAGCCAGTCCCTCAATAATCATGTTAATCATGGCTGGATTAAATGAACTTTTTTTTTTTTAATCAGTTAATATGTTGAGATGTCAATTTTCAGTTCATCCAGCATGGATGTTTTGGGAATGTGGGAAGGATTTTATAGTACTCGCACATGCGGAGAACATGCTAGGGCAGCAGGACAAACCTCAGAACTGTGATGCAGACAAGCTAATCACCCAGTAAAAAGAAACAAAAAAAACCTCAATATAAGTTTGTTTCGATGGCTCATCCAATTTTCAATTATGAAGATCAACTTTCGATGAGAATGAAGACATACTTACTGTAGATTCATTTTGGCAGGCCATAAGGAAAGAGATTTAATAGGCCGATGCATTTCCAGAGCCGTATTTTTTGGAGGGATGTCATTATGGAATGTAATATGCAGGCCATATGTTGTCGCTTACAATTTAGTTCTTTCCATTCAAATCTACACTGCCGGTCACATTCCTGTACATGGCACCACTGGGAAAAAAAAGCAGGTGGCTTGGGGAATGCGCTTTCACAGATGCGATGTGAGATGGGCTGTTTTTCTTTTTTTTTTTTTTTCTCAGCAAAGAGGAGAACATCCGCTCAATGTCAATGTTAAAGCACTTTGGCGTCGACCTCTCGATGCGCTGATCAAATCTCCCTCCATAGAGCCTTCGCCACTGATTTAATTCAAACACCGCACGCACACAAACAGATTGAAGGTCACTCGTAATGGTCTCGGAAACCTTTCCCTTCACCATGACTACTTGCCGCCGCCATCCGCCTCCCCTCCATCACCTCGCCCCTTATCCTCCGCCCCCACCCGCCTTTTTGTCCCTCCAACAAGAGCTCCTTATAAATAGGCATGTGACAGCTGACAAAAGCGCGGGCATCCGCAAAGTACACGGTCTCGTTTTACACAAAGCTAATGACTCAATAAAGACGACCTCCTAAGAGCCGCTGACAAAGAAGCCCTCCTTGGAGGGGGCCATTAAAAAGCGACTGTCTGTCCTCTTGTCTCACAAAGAGACGAAGTTCCTCCGCGAGGGACAAACACCTGCGGACATTCTTTCATAACCTTCCTGACTGTTGCGTTTGAAGGAATGCGCTTGTTGCGATTGAAGTCTTTGTTATCGTATAGGGTCCGATGTGCGTCTCTTGTGCAATTGCGGTGCAGTGGAACTTTCACAGTTGGGACAGTTGAAGTTGTTCCGTGCTCCTGTGACAATTCTTCCCTTCGGAAATGTCACATGTTCTCCAGGATAAAACTCTCGCTATCTTTCACCTAGGCAATGGTTAAAAAAAATGATATCACACTTTATTCTTATACTTTATTCATTTTATAATACTTTCCTGCCATCGTTTTTTAGGACTGTACCCCTCCCACACAGTTTAAACATATTTAATTACATTACAAAACTAGTGCTGGGCGAGTATCGCTACAAGGTATCGGGCCAATAACTAGCCTTATTTCAAGTTTTTGGGTACACGTAAAGGTTGCCAATGCCAGCGACCGATACGTCAAGCAAAACAAGTCCTTGCAGGAGATGGCGCCCCATTGTAGCCAGTTAACAGAAAGACACAAAGATCTTTGTTCATAGTTGTTTGTCACTGTATTAATTGAAATTTAAGGATCTCGTGGTGGCACTTGATATCGGTATTGGTGAGTACTCAAGAGTGTATACTCGTACTCGTATAAGTCAGGAAAAAGTGGTATCGAAAATACAACACTAGCGCAGAAAACGGGGTTCAAAACAGGCAGCGAGTGATGCCCCATCCCATTTGAAGAGATTCAGTCAAAGGAAGACACAAAATGACGTCGTCTATGGGAAGTAAGTTAAGATCAATATGATTCCTCTGTGCATCTATTCAACAACAACGACAGCAACGAACAGAGTCTTGGTGAAATAGGAGTTCAGAGCAATGAGGGAGATCACCAATTCAACTGAAAACATTTTTTTTAAAAATCATCATGATGCACGTCACATGCACATTGGACGGCCACTTACTCGCCAGCAGCACATTGACAGTCCGGCTGGTCAAGGCTCCATGTGCGTTGGCGCTCACGCAGCTGTAGCCTCCCTCCAGAGCCTGAGGGGACGCGCCATCCTTGGAGGATAGCAGCAGGAAGAGGGAGCGGTCAGCGAGATACCGCTGCGCGTCGCTCCCCTCCGGAGGAAGGGGTTGGCCCTCATGCAGCCAGGTGATGTTGAGTGGCGTGTCGCTGGCCCCCAGATTACAGTCCAGCTTGAGGGGGGAACCCGGCTCCAACACTACATGGCTGGGTCCGGCCCCGCAGCTCAGCTCCACCGAAACAGGCTTATCTGTGCAATGGAAAAAAAAATGCAATCATAGATGTGGACTGAATGAACTCTTAAGGTCGTGCTGGAACCACAAAGAGGAAGCCCAATTTAGCCAGTCAGAAGCCGCGGAAGGAAGTCATTTCTGGAAGAGGCACAATAACAACCATGGTGAACTGGAGAAAGGGGGACTCATACATCTGTTCTGCGAATGTAGAAAAATAATTTGGAAAGTGGTGCTAAAACACCTAATTGTAAGGTCATTTTCATGAATGGGCAACCAGAAGAAAATAAAGACTGTGAATATAGTAGATTAGCCATTTGACCTAATCAGAGGTGGCAAGAAATAAGTTCCAGAAAAGGCACAATAATGACAACAGTGAACTGATAAAGAGGAATTATACTTAAAGCCAGCATATATAATGCATGTAACCATATCAGCCAATTTTCACCAATCAAGGACTGCAAGAAAGTCCCGGGAAAAGGCACAACAACAATTTGTAATCAATCCCTGTGCAAGCCGCAAGCCGTAAGCCGATCACGGTTATTTGAAGTGCAATGCATTGCTTGGAATGACTTGCTGCTGCACAATCGTGACGTTCCATAGCAGCCATTTGATGAGTCTTGATTTTAACTCAAACATGACCATTTTTCCTTTCACTGATCGGATTATTGCATAATGGCTGTCGGGCCAATTTGTCATTTCACAGGCAGGGCTTCGATGGAGTCAATAGCGCTGGTAGCACGTGCACTCACGCACGCACACACACACACGCACACACACACACACA